TATCACTATGGAGAAAGGTGGTGCTCCTTTCCTTTTGGGTATCATCTTCCTGACTCTGATTGGAGTTCAAGGTAAGGGGTTTTGAGTTATATTAGGTAAGTAAAGTCAGACATGTGAATTGCTGCAAAAGCCTCTTGATTTGCCCAATAAATGTGACTGTTTTGTATGCAACAGAAAGTTATATGTCACTCATTCAAAGCTTCTCAGTGATGTAATTGATTATCCAAAGTTCATATCTTAGACATGCCAAGTCAAACACAAGTCTTCTCAGTCTTGGTGTGTGAATTCCTGGCATGTTTTAAGTGTTCAATAAATGTTTATTGAACTGGGCGATAATGAAAGACTCTGTCTCCTAAGTTATTTTTGTCACCCTGATATTGTTTCTTGATAAGTATCTCTGTGGTTAACCAATTAAAGTTTCAATAATCAGAGAAATTATCCCTAGTCTGTTTCTTGATAAGTATGTCTGTAGTTAACCAATTAAAGATCCAATAATCAGAGAAATTGTCCCTAGTCTGTTTACTAACTACCTTTGTTACCTTGAACAAATTAATGAACTTTTCTGGACTTCAGTTTCCTTAGCTGTAAAATGGGAATTTTACAGTTATGCGTTTTCTACCTACCACACAATATATGGCATCTAGTAATCATTGAGTAAATATATGTTGAATGAATGAAAGAATTAAGGAGTGAAGATAGTGTATTTCAAAGAGTTTCCAAACATTTAAAGCACTACTGAAAAGAAAAGCAATGGGGAGCATGGGTATGGTGGTAGTAACTGGTTATTATATGTAGAGCTTTCTGTACAAACCAACACCAACTCCATTCTACTTAGGTCAGATAATAAATGGCTCTGAGAATTGCTTAGGAAACTGTAGTCCTCATAGCACACATAAATTGGCTATCTATGTGTCTGACTTGCTAGATAGACATTTATTAAATATTGTGAAAATCTCTTTTCCTAGGGTTGTACAATATGGACTCAAACCCTGCCCTGGCCCCTAGAAAGCTAAATGACTTTGTTCTTAACTTCTCTAAACTTGAGCTTCTTCATCTATAAAATGGAGATAACCTACTTCAAAAGTTTGTGGTAACGATTAACAGACACTCTGTAAAGGATAACAATAACCATGACTAAGTCATATGTATCATTTTAATGGATGATCTAAATTGAGACATTGCCCTAAACTGATGTGTGCTACCTACTCTCTTTCCTTTAGGATCCCCAATAATGAGGAGTCAACGCTGTTCCTGCATCACCACCAATGAAGGGGCAATCCACTTAAAATCTTTAAAGGACCTTAAACAGTTTGCCCCAAGCCCTTCTTGTGAGAAAACTGAAATCATGTAAGTAAAATCTCATCCAACACGCTTGTACCATATTGACAGAAACGTTAAATTTAGTGTGACTATTATCCTTGGAATACTTGCCCATACAAACACTAAAAATTCAGATTGCTTCTCTATACATTGTATCTACTTCTTTCTTTTCTTAAAAAAAAAAAGGAATTTCTGGTAGAGGTCAGGAACCAAGGATGATATATTACCAAAGTAATACATGTTCATTGTAGAAAATGTTTAATGCAGATAACCCAAAAGAAGAAAATAAAATTATTTATAATACTACATCCAGGGACAAATACTGTTAACCCCTTGATGTATATATTGTTCCACACCCCCCTCATTTTCTGTGTGTACATATATAGACACAAATATATATACATATATTTATAAGTGCAATATATATACATAAAAATAAAACCATATGCTACATACTGTTTTGTAATCTGCTTTTCATTAACATTATATCATGAACATTTCTTCATGTCAGTAAATCTTCTGTAATATCAAATTTTTCTAATTATTTCATTTTTAATGGCCAAATTGTATTCCATCTATAGTTGTACAATAATATATATGACCAATGCCTAAATGTAGGTTATTTCCAATTTTTTGCTAGTTAATTCAAACTGGCAATATTGTGTCTTTAATTCTTTCCTATTCCTTTCTGAGATCAGAATTACTGGGTTTTAGGATATGCACATTTTAACTCTTTTAAAACATTTTTTTCAGCTTTATTGAAGTGTAATTGACAAATAACATTGTATAAGTGTAAGACATACAACATGATGATTTGATATACATATAGATCTATTGTAAAATGATTACCATAATAAGATTAGTTAACACACCCATCACCTCATATAGTTACCTGTTTTATTTGGGGGGGGCAGGTGAAAACTTTTAAGATCTGACACCATACCACTCTATCACAATATTATTGACTATATTTCCTATGCTGTATATTATATCCCGTGACTTATTATGTTTTATAATGGAAATTTGAACCTCTTATTCCCCTTCACCTTTCCCCCCCACTTTTAAAATTTTTCAATTACATTTGACATTCAATATTATTTTATATTAATCTCCAATGTACAGCATAGTGGTTACACATTTATATAATTTAAGAAGTGATCCCCCTGACCAGTCTAGTACCCACGTGGCACTATAGATAGTTATTACCATATTATTGACTATATTCCCTAT